CAAAATATGACATGTCTGGAGGCAAGCATCCGCATAAGCAAAGTCTACATGGAATCTCCATGTTCGGAGGCAATGGATACCAGTCGTGGGAAATCAACACCAGGAGAGAGTTGCTGCCTTTTAGCCCTGCTTGTGGGACTGCAGAGGACTGCAGTGACCTGATTGGTCACTGCATAATTATATGGGCCCTACATGGCTCACAGCTGAATTCAATTAACAGTGAATTAACATGGAAAAAAATATAAATATAAATATAAATATATTTGAATTTACCAGTTCACACTCTGAGCTACTACACTACACCAACTTTATTAACCTATAGCGACAAGGCTGCATTGCCTACTACGAAGCATGTGCAGAATTACTTTTCTGCACTCTTTTTAGTAGCCCATGAATGTTGACTTCCATGGGATCATAAACCATGCCAGTACAGCATTCCTCATCCCATGGAAGCCTACATACATCACAATCTATGTGCATAGACTTCCCATTTGCAGATGTCTGAGCTCTATGTAAGGACATGTAAGGTGGTGCCAGGGAAACCATGTGATGTTGTGGGGAAAGCCATCAGGTACTCCTGCCCTCTTGTGCTCATGACACCCCTTTTGTGTGATGAATTCATAGAGGGGCCTAAAAACTTAAAAGTACAAGTAATCCAGGTCGTGAGAGATAACTGGAAGACCATTACAGCAGATTACTGAAATGAAACCCTGAGTATGCAGATACGTTTATTGACCAGACTGGTTTGAAATTACTGGCCAATAAAATTTAAGTCCTTTACCTAATTTTATTTTATTATGCCCCATATGATTTTTGGCTTATATTACACAAATAGAAATGTGTTGTCATCTCAATAATATGCAGCCACAGCGGACAAACAATTCATTATCATCCTTAGCTCTTGACGTAACACTTCCCCTGTATAAGTTATAGTTGCATCCAGAACACAGAGTATGTCATGCTATATTGGACACTGGTTTAGATGAATAAACTTGCAAAAGCCAGACCCACAAACACGTTCAGCCAAATTATTGGAATTTAAACTGATTCAATGCCATTGAATGCTATGCCTGAGGCGTTCTGTTGCTTACTCACATGATAGCATTTGATATATAAACAATGCCCCCCCCCCGATCACTGAGTGTTATAAGAACCTCCACAAAGCAATAGCCGAATTACCCCATTCAACTGTTAAATGGAAACAAATGCACAAACAAAAACTGGTACGACTGCCTTGAAATACCTTTAAATTATTTGGCCCTCCTCATTCTAAGGTTAGATTTCTAAGGGAGGCTCTTCATAAAAATAATGCTTCAGCTTAAATTAAATGTGTTGAAGTTTCTGAATACAGTTATAGCGTGTAGATGGGGCAGAGATGTGTACAGATTCTGCGTGGAGCATTTAGGCCACCTCACTAAGACTATGGAAGTAAACATACAGTTTTCATTAAATGTGCCTTTTCCATAATTGGTACATAAGTAGTTCCCATGACTCTGCAGTTGAATAACTTGGCTGAAGGCAGATCTGGCCATTAGGAGGAGGGCTTCAAATCTGTTGAGTCCCAGCCATGCAGGGAGACTTGGCACCTCCACATGCTGCTTCCTAATACCAACCCGAGTCTAAAATGTCATCAGAAGCTTTCATAAACATTGGATTTAGCTTCACATAAATTACTGCCGTCCTGTGCTAGTTTATGCCAGAATTTAGGGAAAACAACGCATTGAGTAAACAGAATGGAAATGAATGCAAAGGAATCATAATCCAAGTCCATGCTGATAGAAAATTGTATATGAACTCCAAAGTCATAAATACAGTGATAAAATGTGGTTGTTGTTTTCTAAATCACATGCCACTGAGATTGGTTAATATTTACATCTCTACTACATCTCTACTAGCATAAGCCATATGTTGGTTACAGGTTACAGTTAGTAAAAGCAAGGAAGCACAGAAATCAAACATTGCCCCCCAGGCAAGCCTGCTCCCCTTTGCAGTTGTAAAATAATCCCAAAAAAACCTGTTCTATTTTGTGCCAGTGACAATAGTTTTTATATTAAAGAGAAAAAGAGAAATACAGTTTTCATACAGCAAAAATCTATTCAATTATCATTGTTTTATTTAATGTAAAGGTGCGCTATCGTCCTGCCAGATTTATTTTCTTCCCCCCACCTTTTCCAACCTCCTGTGCCCCCCCTTCTCTCCCCCTTCCTGCTGCAGTTGCAATTCTGCGTATTGTGTGTGTGGCAGGAAGCGAGAAATCAAAGCTAGATCATGCACTTCTGCTGGGCAGGTTTAGCGAAAATATGCTTTCCTATGCCTTCTTATACCACCAGAATTATAATCATACCAAGGATGGGAGGTTGGGTGGGAATCTGATCACTTTGCATTTTAATATGAACTTTCTTAATTCATACTTGCTGAGCCAGTAAGCAAACCAAAGCACAGTTATCCTTTGAATTTCACACTTTTCTGGATTTTGTGATGCATTTCTCCAACTAAAAAGTGCACACAAAATGTATTAGTGAAACATACAAAAACTGCATTACACGTTGGAGAAACTGACTTTTAAAAAGTGTACATCAGGGGAAATTGCAAAAAACGCACATATTAGGAGAAAGGCAAATGAAAATGTATAATGAAATTGTGTGTGCACTTTTTAAAGAAAAGAATGTAAGATTTGGGAGAACTGAACTTAAGGTTGAGAAAGCTTGCAATAACCTTGAAAGGCAGCCTACCATTATCTCCATATTTTCTTTGTACAATGTAAAGATTAGAGATGAAGCCATAGCTCAATGGTAATGTATATACTTTGCATAAAAAGCTTCCGGGTTCCATTACCAGCATCTCGGAATATCTCCGTTAGCAGGGTTACAAAAAACTGCTGCCAATCAATGTAGACATTCTGGGCAAGATAGACAAATAGCTCATTGTAAGGTCTCCATATGCATGAAGGACAAAGGTAATAACATGTCCTTAAATAAAACACTATTGACAAATAACTTTGTTCCCATCCAGCCACTTTTCACACACAGAACTGCAAGCACCTCTAAATAAATTGTTTTAATAGTTTAATCCACAAAGCAGTTATTCTGAAATATGTGGGATTTACCATAATTTGCCTAACGTGACATCACATGCCCTCCAAACCTAAGGCAGTATTCCAGCAGCTAATTCTTTACGAGTATAAGCAACAAGTTGTTAATGTTAGCATTCTTGCACTAAAATATGGTTAGTCCTTTTGTAATTAACAGGGCTGAGTGACGTGGAAGTGGGGCACTAGTATCTTAAGAACTCCAAAATAGGTGACAGTATTTTTTAATATCTGGCACAGTATGAAACAAAGACATAAGCCTATTCTGAAAATTGTGAAAACACATGGGATTTCCTACATTTAAATAATTGGCATCCACATTTTCTTTCCACATTCTGCTTCTCTTTAGCTATTCACACCTACAAGGGACACTAGGACAAAGATGGGGAACCTGTGGTCCTTCAAATGTTCCTGAACTACATCTTTCATCAGCTCTGACCATGCTGGCTGAGGTCAATAGGAACTCAAGTCCAACAACCTGTGGAAGACCATAGTGTCCTCATCCCTAGTTTAAGCATTCCAACCAGAAAAAACACTACTACCAAAGCCTCTTTTTCCAGTGGTTAGATATGCAGAAATCAATAAGTGAAGCTGTTAATGGCATGAAGTTAAACAATCACCTGCTAATTGCCATGGATCAAAATGCTCATAAAAGGATAACTCCAGCAGCCAGTTCAAAAAACATCAAATCTTAAAGAAATCTTTCTTCAAATACATAGCCTCCAAAAGCTACACTACTGATAATTCTTTTGATATCCTGGTAATGTTAATTTCCCTAGAGTTGTATCCGACAAAGTTATCCTATTCATGCAAGGACTTCCACTTGTACAACAGGCCCACCATACACCCCTTCCAATCTGCTCTGGAGGGTTGAGGGAGCCCCCAGAATAGAAGGCATGGGAGGAGAATAGGGCAAGAAGTTCCACTGCACGAGTGGAAGTCTTAAGCTTCACTGATACAGCCTCTAATGCCTTTCTTTCATACATGTAAAAGATGGATTTCCAGGTTAAATGGTACACCAATTACTGCATCTGTCATAAACGTGCCAGATACTTATTAGATTTAAGGAGTATTTTACTTTGTGATTAAGCTTATGGATGCTTTGTTGGTGTGATTCTATTGATTTCAGAGTCTCAATACAGACTGTATGTCCTTATTTCAAAAACACACGGGTACATGTGATTATCCTGAAAATGTTAAACATTTACAGATGATGCAAACAAATCCTTGCCGTTCTCTACAATTTAATTTTTTTAAGGGGGGAAAAACCCATCTGCCATTGAAAAACACTTGGAAAGGAAAGGCTGAAGAATATATGGTTGCAGAAGGAAGGAGGAAAGAAAGGAACAAAAGAAATGAAAGTTTCATTGTAGCAGGTAAACAATATGGGTTTGAGCTATGCCAGTAATCAAGAACAAATATACCCAAATTACAATAGGCCTACTATAGTGACTTACAGCAACAGATAGTTTTGTGGCACCTTGAAAACTAGCAAATTAATTACGGCATAAGATTTTGTGGACTGCAGTTCACTTCATCAGAAAGTTTAACCCATATTAAGGGTTTTTAAAGAAGTTTTTAAGGTACCACAGTTCTGTTTATATAGCAACAGTGGACTAACATGGCTACTTCTGTGGAAATTATTACTAGTGGCATATATTTTGCAGGACTGGAGCAATGCTGGGGACTCCTCAGGGGAAAAAAGATGCCATTGCATCTCCGCTGTGAGAAAGACATGGAAACTAAATGATAGAAAGAAAGATGGAATGTTATGCAGCTACAGTTGTACCAAAGCATAATTTTTAACTCTTGTGCATCCCTGATGAGCAAGCTGGAGATATTAATTTAGAGTCTCAGTTGTAAATACAGCTTACGGAATGGGGGAAAGAATGTTGACGGTCAAACTACCCACCTCGATCTTCAACAGCTTTGATGCACGTCTTTACAAACTTAGGGACTGTGGCGCCATCAAGTTCACACACTTTGTGCAAAGGGGAACCGAAAACTTGATCTAGAAAAGACAAAGATAGAGGGGGCGGGAATTAAAATAGTAGCATAGGCTGTAACACAAAATAAGCTCTCCTGGTGTAAGTAAAGAGGTTGGTAGCGGAAAAGTGGTAAAGTTTATTTTGCCATTTAAGTAGACTTTATGAAAATTTAGCTTAACAGAAATCAGACAAGTGAACAGCAAACTATCATTTCCCTCATTTTACTTGTCCTGAATCATGGCATCTGTTTTTGCTCAAAACAGGGAATGCATAAGGACCTAATCCAATAAATGTTAGTTGTATGAAAATAACACCGAAATCAATGGCACACCCCATTAGGTTTGTGTAGTGTAGCAGAGCCATAGAGCCGCCACCCTCCTGACCCTACCCTCACTATAGCTTTTGTTGCTGGCACTGGCATAGCCAGGGCTGCATGGATGCTAGGGTGGAAGTGCCAGATTGTGATTGTGGCCCCAATGTCACCACTGCCCCAGCACCACCCAGGAAACTCTCGAAACCATTGGTGGGTTTTGTCCCTCTAGACCAGCCACTATAGAATGTTACATATTACCTCTAGGGTGAGAGATAGAATGCCTCTAGATACCAGCATTTCCAGTGATGGCTGCCTGGGGAATGTTCTCCCCAGGCAAAGACGCTCCTGTTCACCAAAGCATTTGGCTCATTGTCAGTTATGGGACTCAGCTATACAGGTGCATTTAAAGCGCACTTAAAACATTATATTTGCATTATACAAATGTGATACTTAGATGGCGATGGTGAGCTTATGGCAAATACAATATATTTTTCAAAACATCTTTAAAAAAAGCATTTTCACAGCATTTTTATCCGTGTCTCAACTCCATCATGGAATTGAGTATTCCAAGCCAGTATTGGTGATCATCTTTTAGTATGATGGGGTAGGATTGGTCTTTATGTTATTGCAGGGCAGGAGGAGTAGAAAAATGACAAATAAGCAAATAAATAAACCTGGTACTGTAAAATCCCCTAAGCGTTGTGCACTGACTTATGGAAGAGCATATGTGAAGTTTTGTGCAGTCTTTTGGTCAGCATATCACATTGTTGCATGGATTACATAGATGTGTGTTAAAATAATACTCTAAAGCAGGTATGGTAAGCTTGCAGCCCCAATTTGGCCTGCTAACCTATATCTGACTACTTGCCAGTTCCCTGAAAAGTGTTGCCCATTTTATTGTTTCAGTGGTGGCTTCAGCTGCTTCTGAGTACTGCAGAAACAAGAAGGTGCGTACCAAAGTGCTCCATGTTTCACAATTGCTCGTAAAACACTGGAACAGATAGAAGCACCCCTTCCTGCTTCCAGAACTCTCTAACCAGGTCACAATGGTTCCCTTGCTCTGCGCCACATCATCACAGTTGCAATGGTGGCGGCTTTCTACTTGTCACCACAGAAGTGCTGTGGAAACTGCTGTCACTGCAGGCTATGACTGAGAGGTGGCAGTAGGGGTGTTTGTGCCGGTATGTGTGGAGAGTGCTTGTTAGCGGCATGTGTGTATGTAGGCTGCATGTGTGGAGCGTTTGTGTGCTTTAAGTGTGGTCTGGTGATGAATATGTTGTCTTTGTGCAAGAGTGTCTGTGCATGCGCAGTTCTAAAGACCAGAGGTATGAAAGGTCATCAGTGTCAGTATGACATTTCAACCAATTCCCATTTTGACCAATGAACAAAAAACATTGACTTTGGTGTGAATGTCTTCACATTGCTGCTCGTTATTTCTGTGTGAATATCCAATATCCAATATTTCTGAAAATAATGTACAGAATGCAAAAACACAGGGGAGCCAACCTAGAGCCAACCTTATACAGTGGTACCTCTGGTTACGAACTTAATTCGTTCCAGAGGTCTGTTCTTAAGCTGAAACCGTTCTTATCCTGAGGCGCACTTTCGCTAATGGGGCCTCCCACTGTGCGTGCACCAGAGGCACGTGATTTCCATTTGCATTCTGGAGCAAAGTTCGCAACCAGGAGCAGCTAGTTCCGGGTTAGTGGAGCTTGTAACCTGAAGCGTTCGTAAACAGAGGTGCCACTGTACACGTTTACTCAGAAGTAACTCCCACTGTGTTCTGTGGGGCTTACTCCAAGCAAAGTCGACATAAGACTGCCACCAAAGTTATGAGTTTCTTGGGAACCAAGGAAATGAGTCTATCACATCTAGCATAAATTTCATGGTCAGCACTTAGAATCATAGAATTGTAGAGATGGAAGGGACCCGAGGGTCATCGTCCTCCAACCCCTGCAATGCAGGAATCTCAACTAAAGCTTCCATGGCAATCTTTGCTTTAAAACCTCCAATGAAAGAGAATCCACCATCTTCTGAGAGAGTCTGTTCCACTGTCAAACAGCTGTTAACATCAGTACAACTTCATGTTGGGCAAGTACATACTGCAGTGTTCTAAACAGCAGCAGTGAGGAAGCAGACAGAAGGTGGGGGTGGGTAGTAAGACCACCTTATCACAGAGAGAAAGACTCCACAAGATTCCAGAGCGCACAGATCTACTGCTACAATGTTCTTAATTATATCAAAGTATTCAGGGAAATAATTTAACCACTGCAATTTATCATGTTAGGAGTCGGTTTTACATCATTTACAGTTAGCCTGCCTCTGGAAAACCTTCCCCACCTCCTTGTATTTCCTCCAAGGTTTACAAAACAGACCTCCCACCAATTGGAAAGTGCTTAATTCTGATTTTAAGGGAAAATAATGGTTTTTTATAAGAATAAGTTGTCCCCGGCCCTTGACAACACATGTAAATGGCACGGTTTTACAGAACGAAATTGTATTTAATGCAGCTTTTTTGCGCTTCATGACCGTAAACCTCTGGCTGGCTGAGGGCGTTCATCATGGAGCATGTCAGCATAACCAGGTTAGTGCTCTCAGATTACAAATTAGCTCCATCCTCCTTCATCTCTGCTATATATTTTTGACAAATTATGAAAAGAGTGCTCCGTAATGGGAACTTTGTCAGCAGAATCCAAATGAATCAAACCTATGAGGGAAACCATTCAATAGAAGCAGTTTAAAATGTTTAAACAATGTGGCTATAAGATCATCATTTAAACCAAGAGATAGTCTCCGCATACCTTTCCAGCAGAGCATGACACTTTGAAAATTGGTGTAGAGGCCTTTGACAGTACTTCTGTAATCAATGTTTCTTGGCAAAGCCTGCAGGAATCCTAGGAGGGCCATGTATAACTAACCATATAGTAACCTGCACGACATTAAATATTATATTCACTCCTTCCCCAAACAGGTCTGTCGAGGGTGAACCTGGATTTTGTGCTATTTTAAATACGATATATTTCATCCTATAACACAGCATTCTTCAGCTTGGTGCCCTCCAAATTTGTGCTGACCTTTAAAGCCCTAAACAGCCTCGGCCCAGTATACATGAAGGAGCATTTCCATCCCCATGGTTCAGCCCAGACATTGAGGTCCACAGGGTACGCCCGGATCTAGAGTACTAGGAGATGATTGAAATCTTTGTCAAATATAAGGGATGGAAATCTAGATGAACATTAAAAAAACTCCACATCTCTCTTCTGTGTCTAAATATTTTAGCTCTTCCTACGATAAGGAAACAACCAGAACATCTTTCCGAATAATGAAAACAATAACTGTTCCTGAGGGAATAGAGAAAGCAAAAGGGCTTTGATTTATTAGCAAAAGGGCACTTGAGACTTCTACTTTTTTATGTAACGGGAAGGGGGATGGTGGTGGTAGGCAAAGATGTACACAGCACTCCTAACCTCCTGTTATGACAGTTTATGTTTCCTATCCAGCTTATTTAGCTCAAATGTCTGGGAAATAGACACAATTACCACCTTATGGAATGCTACTTAACTTTAAATGCTCCCTCCTGAATAGAAACCCACATTGTCCTCTCAAAGTTTATTCCAGTTTCTCAGGAATTGCTCCCTCAACAGGCTTCAGAAATGTTCTTGTTCATCATTTAAAAATTTCAGCTAATGAAATATTTTTTTATTATAGTAAAGAAAATTCCCATATAAAGAGCTGTTCACAATAAGTTGTTAAAAGAGGCAAAAGAAAAAGAAAAAAGAGAGCTGCATTCTATGCCCTTATACAGCTTTAATCATTCACTCTTTCAGCTGTTATCAATTTAAAACCAATGAAACTCCCACACTGAGTCCATTTGAGCAGTCAATTTTAATATCTTGAGGCATCTGTAGTTATTCTGAATTGGCTGCAAAAGCAGAACTAACAACTTAAGCTCTAACCATAAGTCTACATCAGGCTGGTAACTCATACATCAAACACCGACAGTTAGTCAATACTATAGTATGAAAAAACCAACAACCATTTTTAAGAAGAGCAGTATATTCACAATGTGTTCGGCAGCATGGTTCGCATTATGAGTTGCTGATATATGCACATAAAAACCATCCATTTGAGGTAGTAGTGGACATGACAGCTTTGTATGTGGATATAAAAGGAGACACAAGGAAAGGATGGGAGAGCCATTCTGAAGTTCTGAGGCATGTAATATGATGATTACAGCTGCAATGAATTGCCTGCCCTGCTTAAAAGAAGCAAAATAGAGTTTGTAGACATGACACTCTTCAAGGATTGGAAGGGTAACTCTTCCCAGGCAACCCCACAGTTTATGTGGCAAAAAGGCAAAACAAAAACCAAAAACCTTGTGTGTGCATCCATTAATTATCCATTGTGCTCCCCCCTTCTAAAATAATGTTTAGGGGTATTCTCATTTTTCTACTCCTATTGAAATACTGCCCTTCAATGATGCCAAACTTAGATTCACAAAATGTTTAGGGGTATGCATCCCCCTGCATCCCCCCAGAAAAAATGGACTGGTTATATCCCACCTTTTCCCTGAAGACATGGGGGTATTGTTCATGGGGTCATCTCTTATATGTATTATCTTAATATACTGTGAAGTTGGGCTGAAATTTTGGTTAGATTAAAAAAAAAAAAGGAAACGGCAATGGGGAAAATTGTCCCATCTCTTCCCACCCCCACTCCTTTCTTAACCATCTTTTTAAAGTTGCAGCAAGTGTCATTGGATCTCATACTGTACTCAAAGAGCATTTCTGTGGAAGTGTTATTGTTCCAGGAGCATTCCTGGGGGTGGGTGGGATAGCTGCGCCAAAATATCTGGAATATAAAAGTATGTCCTTAAAAATGTGGGTTGCTATCTATTCTGTTTGAGGCTTGGGGTTTTCATGAGAAGAGGTGACAAATACCAAAGCCTTGCCCAGGCCCAAGGGCCAATCAAATCAGTGGGCCTTGCTAGCTGAGTTTAGGAAGATGCTATCTCAGCAAATATTATGTCATCTGAGGTCTTAAAAAGGTGGGCAAAGCTGGACCTTCCAGTGGTTCAACCTCTCTGGGAGAGCTGCTTTGAAGGGCCAGTAATCTTTTCTGTAGTCACATGCTCCTATGTGGTTGTGGAGCAGGAGAAGCTGCAGGTGAACCACCCTCACTTAGAACACGGCAGAGGTGCCACAGCATCAGATTGGTGCAGCATAGAAGTGGTGCTGTGGCTCCTCCCAAGTCAAGGACAAGTGAGCGTAACAGAGTCCTCCTCAGGTTTCGTGACTGCAAACCTCAAGTCCAATACACAAATGACAGGTAAATCTCCAGGACTGACATTGCCATGCAGCAGAATGAAGTGACCTGTTTCAGGCTTCCATAAGCACTGGGAAGAAGGTTGCAAGAACTGGTGTCTGTAATGGTGGACAACCCAAAGGGGAGAAGGGTGAGCTTCGTATCTAGTGGACCAGCACTGGAGTACTACCAAATGCCCCATTCATAACCAAGTGTCTGGCAACAGCATTGAAGTGTGTCCGTCAGCCAGCATTCAATGGCATTTGGGGCAGTGATGGGGAATGTACAACCACAGGCCTACTTTCATATAGCCCCTGGATGCTGTACTCTTGCTCTTTGAATCACCTCCCTGGGAATCAATTTTGTCTGAGAGAGATTGAGGAGGGAGGCAGAGAAAGAGACACAGATGCCAAAGAGTAAACCCAAGGAGTGGAGAGGGGCAAGGTTGTGAGAAGGCTAACATCAATGAACACAGCTGATGCGTTGCTCTGCATAGATAATTTTGCCACAGCTTTTATGTATAGTTTGCTGTGGTTAATGCATGATTGTTTTTAAATAGCTTTGATCTGATTTGCGTTTTTAATGCTATTCGGAGTACTTTGGGCACAAATGTGGCAAATACATAAACAGATAGACATTTTACAAAATGTTTAACTCTCACTTCAAGTTTTATGCCTTGCAAAAATAGTTAGTAGGAATGTTATCCCCCTTGAAGAATAACTCTTGTAATAAAAAAGGTATGCAAATATGCTCCATTCTAAACTTTTCTGCCCTACCATGAAAAAATGAAAACAAAACCAAACCAAAAAAATGAAAAAAGTGTGGAAATAAACAATTTCTCAAGCCATTTAATTCACCTATAAAAAATTAAATAGATGCTTTCTAGGACATGAAATTTGGCCAACTCTTTTATTTTTAATCTGTGTCGTTCTATTTTGCTACTTAAAAATGTTTTAATACAAGCCTTAAAAATTAACATTTAAAAGCGCTTTCTGTCAGGGTAAGCATTGCAACTGCATTTTCATAACATTTTAACAGATTAAGGGATAAACTCAACTGAAGACAATGAAGGAACCTTATCAAATGAGCATTTCACATAGACTTACTGGAGACTGGAATTAAGCTCTGCTAACGAATCTTAACTCATTTGCATGGCCAGAACCTAATCCTAATGAAACTTCATGGTAGAAAACTAACATGCTTTTTCTTCTTGCAACATTCCTCTGCTATTAAAACCATGCGCTTAACAAAAGGCCCCGGAACTGTATGGCAGAGCATGATACTATATGATTTGAGCATGGAACACATAAGACACCTCTATGCTAGCAAATCAGCATTCTAAAGCAATCCTGTCTAAAGAAAGATGTACATCTGCTCTTCCTTCAGAGACACATTAAAGGATGGATTTGAGTTATGCTAATGAATCTGGATTTGTTAGGAAGGATCACATCTGATCCCTATGTAATACCAAAGGAGATTCATCAGCTACACTTTATTAAACTAAAAAGAAGAAAAACCCAGAAACTGAAAGACAATAAATTAGAGCAGAAGACGCAACTATCTTACTTCAATATTCAACAACATAAACTGCAGTGATGTGTAGCAGGCCTGCATAACTTATCACTCACCCGCCCCAAGTCCCCCGTTTGGCAGCCGCAAATCCTCCTTTTTTTACAGTTACCTGGCATGCAGCAAAAACAACTGGAGGACCACTATGCACATGTGGGTCACTAATTCTACAGGCCTGATGCAAGGAAAATCATTTGACAAACAGTCTGAGGACACTTTGGAACACAGGATTTGGGTCATCACGTGATCAGACTGCATGAATGTTGCTCATATGTTTAGAAGGTTAGAGGACGTAAGGGGTTGGCTCGCATTTCACTTTAAACTGCAGTTTGAAATAAACGATAATTTATGATGAACAATGTGCTGGTGTATGCTGCTCAAATCATGGGCATTTTGCTAGTTTTCTGCTCCTACATGTCCTCAGATTAGGGGAAACAAACCATGCTATATAGACCACCTCAGTTAGCTTGGTCAGCAGGGGGGCTGATACACCAGCAGCATCTCAAATTTATCTCTCTGGCTCTGCACCTGGTGCAAATGTTCTGAGCCCCTCTAAAGATCAAGATCTTTTCTGGTACATAAAATGATACCTCTATGGACAATGGCATCCCCACACTCAACAGGGGCAGATCTTGGGGGTTGTTTGTAATACGGCATCCTGTACAGGGCCAACATTTGGCACCCCAAAATGGATCTTACCCGTTTTGGATCTTCTCAATTTTGCACTGCCCCAGATTCTGGGCTAGTGCTGTACTGAGGATCCAGAAAGGTCAGACACACCCAGGTCAGAGTAATACATGCCAGGTCACGGATGAGCGTGGCTGTATTACAGACTGACCTGGCATTTAGTAAATCATGTCCTCCATCATGGAGGGCACATGTTGCAGTGATGACTATAAACTGGCTTTTGTACTATTGGCCTAAGTTTACCTCCGGTATGCTATAATTCAGTAGGAACAAGAATAAAACTTAAGTGAGAGAACTCATAATTGCATTAACACAGTGCTCATGAATCCAGTGGTGTTCTGTTAGTGCAAGTGGCCAATGCAGTCATTATACAAAACCTCAATGTAACAAAGGCAGGCATGCTGATGAATTGCTAACTTTACACTGTTTGATCTTCCATATTTCCCCTCTGTGGAGCTGCCCTCATTTGCACTGGTTGAAGCCCTTCCATTAGTTCAAAATTGCTGGAATACAACCAGAACATCCTGTGTATAAAGGCTGTGCACAGCTGGTGCCAAAGAGCTTTTAACTACCTAATTTACATGAGCAGTTGTGGTTTTAACATGTATTCATTGGTGGCTGGGCAAGTTTTATACACAGAAATTGAGAAAATTAGATAAAAATCAACCTTTATAAAATACCATAAGCCTTTCACAATATCTGAACGTGTCCACAAGATGAAAACAGTAACAGGGACAGCAATTTCTACTGAAGTATTATTCCAATCATAAAGGCAATTGCCCCAGCTGAGGAGATCCACCATATATGGGGTGGAAAATTCATGAGGCTAAGGGATTGTCCCATATATTCCCATGAGCCAGGTAGGCATTATACACAGAATACATATGGGAATATCGAGGAATAAAGCATATCGGCTCCACCGATCCATTAGTTGATCAAAAGCTCTGAACTGAGCCTACGTACATACAAGCCACACACACATATTCTCTCTTCTTGCAATCTGAACCAGCATTTTTGTAGAGTGCTAATCTTGCACACAGAGACAATGTGCACACAGTTTTAATAAGCACAGATTGTATTTAGAGTCCCAAATCAACATGTGGAATTTGGGCAAGCCCTCAGATATGATCCCACTTCTCCATATCCCCAAATATCCAATGGTTGGCTGCTGTCAGAACAGGATGCTGGATTCAGCAGGCTCTTTATCTGTTCTTATATCACATAGTTGGGGCTGTAGGCAACCCCCTTTCAGGCCATCTTGGGGAACAAAGAGGTGTATGCATGTGAATGTATCTTTAAGTTTATGTCCACTGTGTTTACATCACAGCAAACACCATTCTGGTAGGTAGAAATTAAACCTTTGACACTCAAGAGAACTCCTATCAACTCGTATGGATAATGTGAACCCCAACAATTTCCACACACTAAGCAACCATGGTGCTAAAGGCGTCTCTTTTGCTATCTTGTTCCTCATTTCAGCGACTTAATTCTCAGAGTAGGCACCACAAACGTACTGAAGTTTGGGGTCAGACCTCTTTGTTATGCAAAATGTGGCATGCCTCAAGTATGCATAACATATAGAAATATAACCCTTCCACATGTTAAACTTAAGAAATCTACTTACGTTTGGGTTTTCTTCAACATAACTGGCTAGAAAGACTAACCAAGAAACCTAAGGGCATGGCCAATACACATGCAGACATATTTTGTCACACAGGAAGGTTTCAGCATGTGGTCCAATGCAGCCTACTTCCTTTATTCCCCCTCCCCAGCTGGCCTCTGACACACACAAAAATGCAGTATGATGCCTATTGAACAGACCAGCAGATATTTGCATACCTATCATTTCCCATGAGACCCAAGAGCTAGTGAAGGGTGGAGGGAGAGAGAGAAGGAGAAATGGGGTTTCATTGAACCTAGTACTCATCTCTCCAGTTTGTATTATTTTTTTAAAAGCACTGTAACAATACTTTGAAAACCACTGTTAGTCAAAATAAATTATTATAAGAACTGTGGCCAGGTCAATGAAACAGGGATACTCAACAATTATACACACATGTGAGCGCAAGCGTGCACAAACACATACACACAGAGAGAGATAAAGAGGACACACACCTTTAATGATCCCCTTTTCTTGCAACGTTTTCAGTGAAGGTCTTCGAGTGATAAACTTCTTTAGTCTGCTTTTAACTCGGTTTTTGTCAGTTGTATCAGAAGTGCTGTAGTTCAGCCTGAAAACTGAAAGAAAAAAAATCAAAGAAAAAAATTAACAGGATGATATGTTCCAACATAGAAAGCTTTGCTGGATATCTTTGGGGAAAACTGGCTATATATTCTGTCCAGCAGTCTGCTATCCAAAAAGAAGCTGATTAATATTATTTTGAATAAACATTGTGAGTTGAGAGAGTCATATTAGTAATGGTTCATGTTATTGGACAGCTATCAATATACTTGTGTAAATTTTGAATGCATACCAAAAATGTGTATCTTTAGCACATATGGTTCTCCACTTGCAAATTAAAGTGTGCTATTTATTATTTCCTAGGCAAATAAAATGGTGGGTTGGACAATATGATAATACTGGGAGAGGTCTGATTCTCTGTGCCAAGTATGGAAAAACATGATATATCCAAAGCACTGGTACATAAAAGAAATACTTCATATGGAAGCAAAATCCTATGCATGCTTACTCAGAAAGAAGTCCCATGCTCAATGGGACTGACTTCCAAGGAAATGTCAGAATGAATGAAATTCCAACTAAATACCAGAAAGAACTTGGTAACAGTAATGGTTGTGCAACAGTTGAATGGACTCCCTAGGAAGGTGGTGGACTCTCCTTCATTGGAAAGTTTTAAAGCAGAGGTTGGATGGCTATATGTCACGGGCGCTTTAGTTGAACTTTCTGCATTGCAGGGGGTTGACCCTCAGGGTCCCTTACAACTGCATAATTCTATGATACTATTCTTTGGATCCCAACTCTCAGCATAGCAATGTAGCTCTTCAATATACAGGTAACTTGTATCTTATGTGAGGGTTACATTCCTGGACATTGTGCATATAAGAAAAATCCCATAAAGCCAGAAACCCCTGGAACCAGGCCCTCTGCCCGATGGAGGGCTGCTTGCCCAGCTTTGTGAAAGAGGCACTAGGGCTCTGGCAGCTCTCTGGAGTCCTTGTGTCACCTTCCCAAAGCCCAATGAGCACTTCCTCGGTTTGGGGAAGGTAGCGCAAGGGCTCTGGGTTGCTTCCAGAGCCCTCTCACCACTTTTCCAAAACCAGGTAAGCCCACAATTGCAGTTCTGCATAGGTGTGGGGGGGGTTAGGAACAAATAAATGGAGATTGGGTTTACCCCCGCAAAGCTACAATCACATAAGTAAATTAAGCGTAAGCTGTGAGTTACCAGTAAACCCTAAGGAATCTGAGATAACAAGGTTATGCGTCATCCATGGTGCACCCTTAGGTATGACCTCTTTTAGATTGGAAGGAATAAACAGTAAACAAAATTTTGATATGGCTTGCTTAAAGACAAAAAATAAATAAATCACCATATGTGTATGTGTGTGTGGTTTAATTATTATCCCCTCTCCACAAGGATCCCTGCAAATGATAGCTCTGTGAAGGGCTAGAGAAGGAAATGCCACCAAACAACAATTTGCATGATGCTTTGGGGAAACCATGACACCACGTACAATTTTGGTGTATGTATGCTTCCTGCACTACCTTTGTTGACAAGGAAGAAAGAAAAGGGTGTCATCTGCACATATGAACAGATTTCTTTTGTGCAGATCTAGGAGTCAAGATCCAGGGCACCATACAACATTCCTGAAAGCTTTGTAATCACTCTTAGCACAGATTGTGTTCCAAATGCATAAAGTCCTATTTCATTTTCCCTGCAAGTAAACTGCCCAAGATACAACAGGTTGTGAACCAAAATTAGAAACGCATTACTGGACTTCTTTAAAAAGAAAAGAAAGAGCATTTGTTAAGAGGGGACAAATGAAATGATACATTTAAAATATGCCCCGTCCTCAAACCAGGGCGAGTTCACAAAGCCTACTTCACAAGAGAATTCAGGGATACTGTGCTATATATTACAAATTTGTCAGTAAGAATCAAAATAAAACATTTTCTTTTTCACTTTGCTGCTCTCTAGGGATAAAAACGTGCCAGATTTTTTCATTTTAAAATAAATACAACATACCCAATTAAGGAGAGCAACATTTAAACACATGCCTATGATAATCAGAGCATACTTTGCTTCTGATTTCACTACTGATTTGAACAGAGGACTGTTCCATTTTCCCACAGCACTGAACTGACCCCACACATACTTTTACAAGTTAGTAATCACAAAGGACATATAAAAGGACACTTTTACTGGAACATTAGCAGCATGGGACAATAATCCATCACTTACGAAAAAATAAAATTCACATTTTTAGTGGTAGCATTCTTAGGACGATATATCATAGAATACAGAGATTAGTGTTAAATTAATGGCTGGCTCTTTTGTTCGTGTTCTATTTTGGACCTTCTGGGTTCAAATGGGAACAACCCTTGGCAGTGATATACTAAAATTCCAGGGCACTCAGCCTTACTGTATAAAGAGAAATAGAAACAGCATTTCTGATGCTACAACCTTGGTGGCATGAGGGAAATGTTATAGAAAATGCTATCTGTTCTCTATGGACTGGATTCACCTAACAAACCCCGTCAGTGGGAGCCTTGTGAAAGAGCTTCTGCTTGTGCAACAGGGTTTTCCCCACTTCCCCCTGTGCCCCCTGAAATTGGCTTGGGGGCTGGAAGAAACCCCAGAACAGTGGGGCGGGATTGTTCTGTCTGGAAAGTTGATATGATTATGCAGCAGATGGAATGTTTGTAACAGCACAATGTTGAATTCCACCCCAGTTGTTTAATTGCTTTTCTTCACTTTGTAAAACTTACATATCTGCACATATAATAACAATGCATACAGACCTAGGTCTAAATAGAGCCCACTTACATATTTCATTAAAATGAATGGGACTTCAAAGTGCTTATGTTTCATTGGGCGGCATCCATGGCACAAATTTCCTAGATAAGCAGTTGTACTACTTCAAGTGTGCCAAGGTAGTCCTTGCTTAGTAGCAGCTCCCTTATCAGCATCTACATACTGCACAATGATTTGCACACAGTTTCAAGTGATTATGTCGATAAACTAAGGTAAGTTGCTCCGTAGCACCACCAACAGCTCCCTGCATGATCTTTTATGTTCCCTCATTATGGTCTCTTTCTGAAGAACTTTTATTTCGCAGTTTACAAAACATTTACCCTAAACCCCATGGGCTTACCACCTGTGATTAATTCCTGCCCAGTACGACGTTCTCTTAGTACTTTGGGTGTGTGTTGAGAGCATTGGTTTTTGAAGAACTATCCATTAATGACTTTCTGAACTGTGACAATGGATATTGACAGTGCTTGTCAGACTAAAGCACTATTGATTGCTTCACATCATGTGTATAGCAAAAACAATTTCTTTCAAGTGCCGCTCTCCTAACTGAAATACATTAGAGCAGCGCTGATCAGTTCATTACGATGCCCAAAATTATAGCATGTAATGCATCCGAAAAGAAAGGATTCAGGAAACACACACACCTCTTGTGTAAGAAGTTGCTGCAATTCAATGTTGTTTATTTGCTATTTTGAAAGAAAGAAAGAAAGAAAGAAAGAAAGAAAGAAAGAAAGAAAGAAAGAAAGAAGGCAAACCTCAAAGCGCTTACTCCAGCATAGCCTCATTATGACTAAGGGGTTTCCAGGAATGACATTAAAATGATCAAGCACATTGTCATAGAAAGTCTCTTTTACAGCCAACTTTTCCTGGCATTAGCCTCCTTATCCCGCCTCATGTACAATCAATCACCATGAAATTAAAGTGACCCGTGCAAACAACATTAGAAGAACTGGCTAATAGAACATGTTAAAATTGTTAAAATACTTGGAAGAAAAGAAAAGCCTTCACCTGCTTCTGAAAACATGTTAAAGTGGGTGCCAGGCAGGCTTCTCTGGAAACAGTGTTTTGGAAAAGAAGGAGGATACCATGAAAAAGCCTTCAGAGATGATCTGTGGCCCAGAGAGTTCCACATGGGAAGAATCATTCTTTCAAATTCTAGGGAAACAAGCCTTGCCAGGCTTTAGAGGTTAAAACCAGGGTCTGGAAACATACTGGCAGCCAAGGCAGCTGAGTGAGAACTTTTGTAGCCTAGCACGATCCGGTGATCTGAGGAGTGAATGGATTTCCACCTGTCTTATATAACTGCTGACTCTGGCCAGACTTGTTTCTCTATCTAGGTTCAACTGCTTACAGATGGCCCAAATCTGTCCTTGGAGCCCTCCTTGAGTCCACCTTGCAACTTGTCTATTTGCCTTAGTCTGACACTCAGCCACTACATTTAATCAACATTTTCTGCCCACCACACTCATTACTGATTGGGGAAACAAACCAAGTGTGTGCACCCCAATGTATTTTCAAATACATACTGATGACAGAACAACAAAACCACAGTGCAGTCCATTGCAGTTATTTGGGGAAAATAACAAAAAATGGCTCAACTAGGAAGTTCTACTCTGTGGCAATAATCCTCCATTTTCAAAAGGCTCTAGGGCTGAGAACCCCTTGGAAAGAAGAGGGAATATAAGATACATGTGTCCATCTTATCTATTTAAGTCCCATTCCAGCTACCATTCAGTTGGCCTGATATCACCAGAGCCTAGATGGTATGAAATGTTGGAATACAAACTACATTTTCTTGCAGGTGCCAAGAGAAAAACCTTGGCAGGCCAGAAGCTTTGCCTTGTCCCCCCTTGACTATGACTACCCACTGACTGTAAATGATTTTTACCCAATGGATCTGTGAACTTCTAACCTGAGAACACACATCAGACGCCATTTCCTCATATAGCAAAAGCCTTCTATGTGCTGGAAAGGATGCCAAATCTTAGTTGTCCGCGCAAATCAATGCTGACACGTAATCAGCATTTATCTTAATTAGCCCTGAAATATGTGAGAAGAGTGACAGTGTGACACATATCACTGCACAAATATATCAGCAGCAAGTTAAAAAAGAAAGCAAAGAGAGAAACATGTTTGTGGTTGGCTGGGGGAAAATCTGAAGACCAAGGCCTGGTCATCGCACAACTACATTGTTAGAGAGTCAAAGGTTGCAATATAGCTGAACTTAAATCATTCTGAATGTGTCCG